CCAGACCCTCACGAACCCAGAAACTACACCAGAGAAGTCTAGATGACAAATCTTGCTGAAACTTGCCCTGTCTTCCCTTAGTCCCCCAAGCACTGACCTCACCATTTGCCACCCTAGAAGCTCAAAGCCCGTTTCCTTTGCCTTGCCACTCTAAAAGTTTATTGTTCTTTTGTTAAGATGCTGTACAAGCCCAAGTTCCAGCCACCCCGTGAGCTACTCATTCCTGGGTGTTCCTGTGGGAGCACGATGCACATGTTAATCAACCTCTTTTTCTCCTGTTAATGTGTCTTTTGTCAGTATAATTTATAAGGCCCCAGCCAAGGAACCTAGGATGGATAGAGGGAAAAGATTTTTTTCCTCCCCTACAGTATCATTTAGCCAAAGCCCAACTCTGAGATAAATGGGAATTGTAGGGGTGAGAGAGGGGACAGGGAGATGGGGAGACCAGGGCCACTCGGTTACCAGACTGTGCTGCACAGAGAGGGACCTGCAGGCTCTGCAGCTGCAGTTCCACCTCACAGTCCCCACATGGATCCCCCATCCCTCTTGACTGAGTAACAACCTAGACTCATTCATTTTACTTAGAAGGGGTTGGGGCTTCCCACACAGTTTTGGTGGGATTCTGAGAGAGATGGTGAATGGGCTTGGGTTTGGGCTGGGGAGGAACATTTGTGATGGGAGGCACAGCATGTCCCAAGGTGAGGAGTACTGCCTGCCCCGAGCCCACCAGGAAGCCAGTCCAGGGCCCATCAGGGAAGGAGCACAGGTGGGAGCTTGCTGGATGGACAGGGATGTTTTGTTTTTATGATCTGGGTGCCGAGGCAGACACTTACCTCCAGACTCGTGAACGATGTAGAGTGCAAACTCACTGGGGCTGTCTTCCACCTGCGCAGGCAGTCACAGGAAGTCAGACCACAGCTTTTTGAGATGAGAGGGAACAGAGAGGGTCCCCTGGCAGTAACCACGCCCCCAATGCTATGCAAGGAGTCCCCAAGGGCCCTCCCCTCTTTCTGCCTAAACCCCAGAGTCACCAGCCAGCTCAGCAGAGGAATCTTGCAAGACCTTCTACCCAGGAGCCACGGTCTGCTTTCCCAGACATTCCAGCCCTTCCCCCACAACAAAACAGCAAGCCACCAGCATCCTGGGGCAAGGCCGCTCATGGCTAGACTTACTCTGAACTTGTTCAGCAGCAAGGTGAGCACTTGCAGGGTAGTCATGGTGCTGTTGACCCTCACGTTGGTCACAGACCCATAGGCAGGAGTAAACACGGAGGTCTGTGGGGGGAGGGGGCCAATTCAGGGCAAGCCCAGAGCAGACATGGGGCTGACATCACACAGGCCAGAAGTGCTGGGTGGACTGAGCAGCAGGTGATCCTGGGCTCTGGGAAGGCCTGTGTCTGTCCATTCACACAGACTCACATGCAAGCTGCTTGT